CGCCAGCCTGTACAACAACGGTGTGCACAGCGCCACTGGGGTTAGCCCTAACTGTTTGCTACTAACTTTCAAGCCTAGACTACCCCTGGACTTCCTCTTACCTGAGAACCAGCCGACTGCTGCACCTGGTACACTAGAGTTTGCCTATCGATATGAACAATTGATGCAGGAGGCGGTAGAACAGATGCACAGGGCACAGGCAGCGATGATATATTCTGAGAACAAGCATTGCCGCCCATCTACATTCCAGATAGGGGACAGAGTCTGGGTTAAGTCCTCAGAACTGGGTCAGGAGCAAGGGATCTCCCGCAAGCTCATGCCATAGTACTTTGGACCCTGTGAGGTTCTAGATGTCATTTGGGATGATCCGGATGGGCCTTCATATGTAGTTCAGATCCCTGGTCACCTTCGCACTTACCCAGTCTTCCACGCCTCCAAGCTCGCACCTTTCAGGGAAACTGACCAGTTCCCTTCTCGTCGCTCAATGCTGCCCCCAACCATGGATGGAGAGGTCGACATCGACGACATCGTGGACCACAGAGAAATGCCGGTTCCAAGACTGACAAGAAGGGGACATCCTCCGAAGCCGAAGCTGCAGTACCGAGTTCGGTTCAGACATCACACTGATCGAAAGGAGGATAGATGGTTCACACCGGAGGTACTTATGCAGACCGCACCTCAGGTTGTTGCTCACTATGAGAAATTGCTACACAAAGGAAAGCGCCAGATTGAATGAAATTCTCGGAGGACTCACGAAGTATGGAGGAGGGAATGCGAGGCACAAGGCCTCAATAAGCCCCACTGGGCCCTGTTATCAGCAAGGTCGGCCGCCCTAAGTGAACGCAGGCCCGACTGAGGCCTATTTGGACACTACGCAACTGGGGAAAATTCAGGCAATTGCGCTGCGCCAATTGGTTGGAAGCGCCCAGGCCCAGGCTGCCTTTCATCATATGTAACTGAGGCAGGCTGTTACATGCTGCGCCTACACACGAGGGCCATTTTCCAGGCCCTGCGTCCTTCAGGCTAAAAGCCTGAAATTCAGGCTTAAAGCCTGAAAACTAGGGCCTACAGGCCCCGTGACTGTTCAGCCCGAAAGCCTGAAAACAGGGGCCTACAGTCCCTGTGTCGTTTCAGACTAAAAATGGCAATAGCCTTTTTAGCCTGAAACGAAGGGCCATTTTCGGTCGTTCATC